GTATTACTCAATTAAAGTTCCTCTTTAGCTGAATTAATGTTGCACTAAAACTTTTTTTTCTATTGAATGTTAAGAGAGTTACAAGTTATTTGTTCTAAAATTACTCTAAATTACTTTAAAATTATCAAATTCAAACTAGTTCAGCTAGAAAGAATATATCTCTAATGAAATCAAGTATATTTGACATTCAATTAGTGTATTAAATTGTCGACAATTAAGTACATTAGACTATATAACATATTTAATATCTTTAACAACAATAACTAGATGACACCCATGGAGATAGGGCAAAGGAGAGCATAAGAGCAAAATGTATGCAATATTTAGAAAGAGCAGAGAAACTGAAAGCTTATTTAAAAAAGAGTAAGAAAAGACCAGTGAAGGCAGGAGAAGATAACTCCAAGAGTGAGGATAAGAAGAGTGATAGTGGCGACAGCGACACCGACAGTGATCCTGAAAAAAAGAAATTACAAAGTAAATTAGAAGGTGCGATAATTATTGAAAAACCGGATGTCAAGTGGAGTGATGTGGCTGGTCTTGATGGAGCCAAAGAAGCTTTGAAGGAAGCTGTTATTCTACCGATTCGGTTTCCTCATCTCTTCACTGGAAAACGCATACCTTGGAAAGGTATCCTACTATTTGGAGTGAGTAATTTAAGATTCAGCAAATTATGTGATAGTCAAAATTGTGTAATAACTGATTAATCGGTTAAAATTTAAGTTAAAAAATTAAGGATTTTTAACTCAGTTAATTTTAAGAAAGTCAGTTTTTTATTTAAATTATTTTTTAGAATGTATCACTTATTATCATTTTTTATCTAAGTTAAAATAATCCATCAATACTAAAATCATTATAGGCTGCTAATAATGTAAAATAAGAAAAATAAAAAATAGTTCAATCAACAATTTTTTTTATTCCTCAGAGTGCTAGTGTTCTTTTCTTATGTAGATTTCTAAGCACAAATTAGTCAATATTTTTTGGGAAAAACTATATTATTTTACATAAATTTAATATATGATTAAAAAATTAATTATACAACAAATATATATTACTCTACATAATGGACTTTTAATTTTAATAAGTTAATTCAATTTTAATTCAAATTTTAATTTAGTTTTTATTTATGTGTCTTAATTAATTTTATAAGCCATTAACTTGAAATTTAACTTAGTTAAAAAGAAATTAATTTATCTAATTCTGGTAATACTTATAAATGGTTCATTTCTATATTAAATATCACTTTTATCAGGCTTTTTACTTTATTTTTAGCCACCTGGTACCGGTAAATCATACTTGGCGAAGGCAGTTGCGACAGAAGCTAATAACTCCACTTTTTTCTCTGTATCGTCGTCAGATTTAGTGAGCAAATGGTTAGGAGAATCAGAGAAACTTGTAAAAAATCTGTTTGAATTAGCGCGTCAACACAAACCTAGCATTATATTTATCGACGAGATAGACTCCCTCTGCTCGTCACGTTCCGATAATGAGTCAGAATCCGCAAGAAGGATAAAGACGGAATTTCTAGTTCAGATGCAAGGTATGAAAGTTTGAAAAATCAACAATATTTATCAGTCGTAATCTCATTTCTTATCCTTCGTAAATCGAATTATTTTAATTAATTATTTAACACTTTTAAATTAATACTTTAACACGCACAATAGGTGTAGGATCTGATAACGATGGTATACTTGTACTGGGAGCCACTAACATACCGTGGGTACTGGATTCCGCGATCAGGAGAAGATTCGAGAAAAGAATTTACATTCCATTGCCAGAGGAACAAGCGCGTGCCGTTATGTTTAAGCTCCATTTGGGTAATACATCGCATTGTTTGACGGATGAAGATTTCAAGAAACTAGCTGCATCCACCGAGGGTTACTCGGGAGCTGACATAAGCATTATTGTACGAGACGCCCTGATGCAGCCGGTCCGACAAGTACAAACAGCTACGCACTTTAAGCGCGTTAGAGGGCCATCGCCGAAGGATCCTTCCGTTATCGTTGACGACTTACTCACTCCGTGCTCTCCTGGTGACCCAGCAGCAATAGAAATGAGTTGGATGGAAGTAGATGGTGACAAATTATACGAGCCTCCGGTTACCATGGTAAGATTCAGATTTCATCAGTCGAAGTTTCCTGTGAATGTGGTTCGGCTTTTCTATTTTTTGAAAGAGAAAATAAATTATATAATCAATTATATATCTATATATAAATTCTAATGTGTATATTTTTTCTAATGTGCAACATAATTGTCATTTTAGAAAGATATGTTGAAATCGTTATCAACGACCCGTCCTACAGTGAATGAAGAAGATATGACGAAGCTAGATAAATTTAAGGAGGATTTCGGTCAAGAAGGTTGAGAGTTTTCGGACTTGCCGTTATAATTATGTAAACGGATTTCTAATTCAACAGATATTTTTAGTTGTTACACGCTTGCCTTATTCCTCTTATAAATAACACTCGACAATGTCTGTATAAATATACTCGGAAACGAGCTCATTTTTTCTTGTCTTATTTTTCATTTTAAGTGCAACATGCAGAAAAACGAATACAATCTAGTATTATGAGCTTATTGCTTATTTACAAACACTACTCAGTGAAAAATAATACATAAATTACAAAATAAACTATATTTTGAGATAACGAAAGAACTTACTTAGATTTATCAGTCGGATAGAAGGTAAATTATTTTTTATCATGAAATGCAAAGTAGGAAAATGTTTGTGATACGTTTACCAAGGTGTATGACAAACCATGTATTTAGTGCATTACTATATAATCACGATGTGTACCTAACAAATTAATTGTAAATCTTATAGATTTTATAATTATTTCTTAATCATCTATATAGTTTTAATATTGTGCTACTGTATATTTTTATTCGATTGTTCCGAGTCGTACGGGATCGATAGTGATTTTACGCGAAAATCGGCATCGAATTACAGCTATTGAATTTTAAAAGATTAAGTAACGAAAATTAGTAACAGCAGAGCAACATGTATTATGCTACATAATACACAAATAAATAAATAAATTTATTTATAAATTATAATTACCAATATTCAGGGTATTGTTTTCATGTAAATTATTTTTATTGTTAACTAAATAAATAACAAGCTGTATACGAATATATAAATCGATGAATTTACAATGATATTAAAAAATAACGAGAAATTGCAGGGAGGTAATTTTAGGGCAGGCAGTGTCTCAGAAATTCTGAATCCGTATAGATAACCGTCACGGTGATATCGTCGCGAAATATCCGTACTACTTCGCTTGGCAGAGTTAACAATTGCGCCAATTTCGCGTGATCTATACCATATTCTGTGCCGCCCAAAGCATTCCTTAATAAATGCGTCGCCGCGTTGCTGTCGAGAGGTTTCTTCTTCAGACCTTCCTTGCGTTGTAGTAACATTTCATTTATGTCCGACAGTCTCATATTTTTACGAGGTAATCTCAACGGACTGAGTGTGACTTTACCGCTCATATGTTCTCCGACTAAGCGCACAGCTTGCAACGGCGAGATCAAGTCCCACAATCCATCACTGGCTATTATAAGAAATTTGTCTCTAGGCGTCAGTCTATGATACTTGACTTCTGGACTTGCTATCAGGTACGGTGGTGTGTGGTAATTCGGGGGGATGGCAGTCTCTCCGAGGAACGGTACTACGGCTCGCTGCATAACATCCTTACTCCATTTGTAACGGAAATCGCCCAGCGAGCGAAGTGGTGCTAATTGACCGAGCAGTCTCTCCATTTTGATCACAGTCGATCTCTCACTTGATGGATGATCCGACAAGATTCTTTCTACCTCTACACGATTATCGGCATTATGTTCCGTAGTCATCATTTTGGCCGACCATCCGTCGTTCTCTAAATCGATCAATGTACAATTTATACTAGTACGTCCGGGAGGCGTTTGGTATTAAGGCTACTGGTCTTTTGTTGCAGAATTTCTGATTGATGACATCAGAAGCGAGGAAACATATTCCCAAAATTCTTACATGTATATTTTAAATAAAAATATATTTGTATAAAAGAATATTCCAGATCGCTTTTGTGTATACTTATAAAATGTTCTGAAAACTATCCTTTTCCTTTGACAGTTAATAAATAGTATTAAAAATAACGTGAAATAACTTGGAATTTTCCTCAATCTTCCTCTTTAACACTAGAATGCCTGATGGAGTTTTATTAAACTTCTTTACGATTTTCTTGATATCCTCATTTGTGTTTCTTATAGTTTAGGAAATTTCTCGTAGCATTTAATTATTTTAAAATAGAACATGCTGGAGGTAATAGAAGATATCAATGATGAAGTACTTTATGATATATCTTGAATGCCCAAGAAATTCATTTTAAGTCTTTATTTAATTACTATTTAATTACTAGTGTTATATAAGGACAGTATACAAACTAATATTTGAGATTTTAGTTTTTAACCTCGATTTAATTTATATTTTATTCTGTGTTCATTCACCAATCTTTTTATACATAAAGAAAATATCGTAGTAAAAATTGCAACAAAATTTTTGTAATTTGTGTCCTGGATGTAATCTTGGATTATACAAAATTATAATAAAAATTACTTGTGTAAAAATGTTATGCATCTTTGACTTTTCATAATCCAATTATTATAATTACATCATTGAATGTTTTTTATATCGTACACAAGATAGATCGTTAAATTTATAATCGTTAATTTTTATAATAATTTATATTATTATAAGAATATTGGGGAGATTGCTGGAGATCTCGGAAAAGTTTTTAGTTTTTGATTTTTCTGAATAATTTTGATTAAAAAGTCCTGAAAGAGATATATCATTAAACTGTACATATACCTTAGCATCCTAAAAAGAAAAATTTTTATTACCATCTGATAGGAAAATATAATAATTTTGAAGGAATTAGAAATTTTGTTTCAAGGTACAACAGCTTAACGTACAAACACCTACTCAGATAGCCAAACCTGCGTGAACAGATTTCGAGCAGAGCTTGCTATTAACTTTTGATGGCAAATAAATAACAAATTTGATGCAGGATCTGTTATATCAAATCTTGCTGCCAAATTGCCGCCAGATATGCGGCAGAGTTTGTTGTCGGATAAGTGCTGCAGATTTGCAGCAAAAACCACGCAGAGCTTGTAGCGATTTGACGGCAGATTGGCGGCAAAAACCGCGCAGACCTTGCTGCGCTGTAAGGTTTGCGCGGTTTTTGCTGCAAATTTGGCACCAATTGCCCGACAGCAAGATCTGTCGCCAAAACCGTAGCCTAATGTAGACACAGATGGCTATAGTTTTGCTGTTTTTGATCAAATTTGCTGCCAATCTGCGCGTAGTCTGCGCTCAATTTGCTTACTGGGTACTAAAACTTTCAGTTTTCAAAAAACTCCATTTTCTCAACAAAATATAGTATTTTATTAAATTTAGTAACATATTGGTAAATATTATGCAGTAAGTAAAGTAAAAGTCAAGTACCCAGTAAAAAATCTGTGCGCAGACTGACGTCAGATTGGCAACAGGATCTGTCGAATTCGATCAGGATCTGTCGACAGATCCAGTTATCTGCGTCCTCAATCTGCCGTCAGACTACTGACAGGGTCTGTTAACAGACTCTGACATCAGATTGGCGGCAGATTGCGCACAGAGCCTGCCAACAGATTCTGACGGCAGATTGCGCGCAGATCCTGTCGTTTCGTAGGTTCTTCAATTAAATTTTTTGTAGAAAATTTTCTCATAATTTTTCATAATTATTCATAAGTTCTCGTAAAATACAATGAAAAAAAAATTTTTTCTATATTATTTTTTCATAATTTTGAAGATTTTCTCTAGTCAGATTCGAACTTGAACCGAAAACATTTTTTGGATAATCGCCCGTCGCCTTAGACACTATGCCAATTCCTCACTTGATAAAAAGTGCTTTGTATTGCCCACTTAAAATATAAGGAAGAAAAATCTTAGAGTTTGTTCGTCTTTTAAACCGCAAACTATAGACGAAACCGTTTAGCGTATAAATAATATAAGAGAGATCGGCACGATAATTCGAAATTAATTTTCTATCAAGGACTGTATAGAAAATTACTGCAATAAAACGGCAGATAATGATATTTTTCCATCATGCTAATAAAATACTGTGCGAAAAAAAATACTGTTTTACATGTGCGAATTAATTTGGTTGGTCATCCAGTTCAGATTGTATTAAATTTTATCAAAATCGAAGCATGATATATTTTCAAATAAATCATCACAAAAATTCTGTAAAAGTTATTTACATGGCGAGACTAATATTTTATTCGGTGCTGCTGCCTTCAGTACTTATTGCATGACGGTTAAATCGTTCAGATTTAATGACATAACAACATTAAAAAAAATAATAATATAAGAAATTGTATGAAAAATTATGAGAACCATTTTTACTAGGGATGGCATATGTACGCCTTTAAATGGCTATTTAACCGTTGTACTATTCTATACTTGTACTCGTTATTTCTCTATTATTGTTGCTTTTTTATAAAAAATGTGTAATACAATTTTAAAAAGTAAAAATTGTTTTTTATGGTGTATATGTGTACAATTATTGCACAATATACTTATCTTGACTCCTCTGTAGCAGTTTTACATGGTGTGTATGTGAAACTGTCCCATTTAATAACGTACATGACCCTTGATAGAATTAAATATCTAGGAAACAGAATCTGCGCGCAATCTGCCGTCAGTCTGTCGTCAGAGTCTGTCGACAGACTCTGCGCGCAGTCTGTCACCAATCTGTGGTCAGAGACTGCTAAAAAAACAGTTTCTGTGTGCAGTCTGTTGCCATTCTGTCAACAGACACTATTGACAGACTCTACGTAAAATCTGCTCGCACAGGTTTGGCTATCTGGATAATTGGCTTGACCCTGGATCGTTTCAAAGTCGTTTGAAAGTCACGTGAAAGTCACCTTCAATTTCTTAAATGGAAACCTCCATTTTTCATTGCATATTCTTGTAGCTTACCTCGAGAACTTTCCAAAACACTATAATAAAATATTTTTTCATTAAGTATCTTTCGAGTTAAAAGACTTTAAAGTTAATATTGTTGCCATTAGCATTGGTACCCAAGATGTTCGACCGACGACTGAAACCTTTTGAATATTGTTCAGTGCCATGACCTTGACAACATTTGTCAAACGATTGGAGGCTGTTCCTGATATTTTCATTTCTTAAAATTTTACAGTGAAAACAAAAATAATAATTTAAAATCATGGGGTAATATGTGGAATCCGATTGACTCTAAAGGATCATATGAAGGTCACAATGTTTCGTCGCGGCCACAAAGAAGCACACGTGTGAAATCCCATTAATAAATTTCTTTAATAATCATAGCATTGTGATCTTCATCGAAAGATATTTAATGAAAAAATATTTTATTATAGTGTTTTGGAAAGCTCTCGAGATAAGCTACAAGAATATGCAATAAAAAAATGGAGGTTTCCATTTAAGAAATTGAAGGTGACCTTCACGTGACTTTCAAACGACTATCCAGGGTCAAACCAATTGCACCATCTTATGTCCTCCTCCAAACCATACAACTTTTGTTTGAAAAATTTTTCCGTATCTTCCATATTTTTCGAGATATTTGCCTGGTTCGATTAAAATGACTCACCCTGTGTGTGTGTGTGTGTGTATATATATATATATATATATATATATATATATATATACACATACATATATAAGCAGGGTGAGCCATTTTATTCAATACACGCAAAAATCTCAAAAAGGAGAAATTTTTTCAAAAAATGTTTCAGACAAAAGTTGGGTTCAGAGGGGGATATCTGAAGGTGACCTTGACTTTGATTTCGGAGCTCATTCTGAAGGTTATTCGAAAATCAACTTTGCATTTTAAATAGAAACATTAATTTTTTCTTAGGGAATTTTATTCTTCGTGAAGAAACTAACTTTTGTTTCAACGAATTTTTCGTACGATCTCTGTTTTCTAAGATATTTACGGAAATATCTACAAAATTATTTTAATCCTGTAATAAAAAATATATGTTTCTATTTAAAAAAACAAAGTTAATCTCGACTTGACTTTGGCGGCGCTACGCAAGGTCAAACCAGTGGTATCTTCTTGTGTCCTCCATCGAACCATATAACTTTTGTCTGAAACATTTTTGCTGAATATGCTTGACTGAAGAATGATCAGAGTGCATATTTAAAAATACGACACCCTATGTGTGTGTGTGCGTGCATATGTGTGTATAAGTAATGAGAAATAGAGGAGGGGGGGGATGTTGAAATGGAACATGTGTTGCTATACAATAACTGCAGTAAGTAAACAGAATGAGAGAGAAATCCCTGATTCCTCCCTGATTCTCGTCTGGACCACAGTGTAATTAAGAGTGGGTCAGATGAATTAACAAAAAATATACAAAAACAGAGCGCTATTAGTGACATCCAAGGGTCTTCTCTCTCATCTAGCACAAGCTTAGTGCTCGTTCTAGATTGTATATATTTAAGTGGTTATTCCCGGGCATTCTAATGTTAACTTACTTTTCTCGTGATTTTGCTATGTGCTCTTATGGTTATTGACTTGAAGCAAAAAAGATAATTTTCGGAGCATTTCATAAATATACTCAAACAATTTAAAAGCCTTCTTTTATTCAAATATCTTTTTATTTGAAAATAGTACGTGAGAATTTTCAGCGTATCATTTTTTGTCTTTTGCCTAGTTTATATCATCGATTTAGATCATTTAATAGAAAGTTACTATTTAGTAACGTGTATCAAATTTTTGATGTAAACTACTTGACTTCGTGATTGATATGGCCACAGCAAGTAGTCAGGAGCTTTAAGATTCCTGATATCTCACCGTGGTCATCTTGAGTTGTGATATCAGAAACGAAAAAATGCAAGCTCTAAAAATTCTTGATATGTAGAAATAAAAAGATATATCCATAAAATAACACTCGCAATTAATCGAGCAAATATGCAAAATATTTCGAATACTATCCTTTTATTTTAACAATAACTCTAAAATTAACATGACAAAGTCATAAAAAAAGGAAGATTAGAAAAGTAAATTGCGTTAATTTTATAGTAATTTATTGTATCAGAATCAAAGAAGAATGTACGTTTTTGGACTATCTTATAGATGTGCCCGATTAATTGCAAGTATACAGGATGTCTCAAATCCTCTTCAATATCTCTCGTGAGGACGTAGAGCGAATTGAGATAAACATAAAAGTCCCGTTTTGCGATATTCTCAATAATAACCGAGAAATTAATTGTAAAAGATTAAGAAAAAACGCACGCTGAATGGTTGAGGGAGGAGCGCTCGCGATTCAGTATATAGCAGGCGGATATCAGCGCGCGGCGAATGGTCAATACGCCACTGTCTATGCTTATATCGCTGAGATCCTACGTCTTACCGCACCGCGCCGAGGCGAGATGGAGTGTAGCGATATAAGCATAGGTAGTGGTACATTGTTTTTCCAATCACCACGTGCCGACATCCGCGTACTATATTACTGGGTTCGCGCTGTGGCTCGAGCGCTTTTCCTCCGACTATTCAGCGCGCGTTTTTCCTTAATCTTTCACAATTAAGTTTTCGACTATTATTGTGAATATCGCAAAACGATATAGGACTTTTGTGTTCACCTCAATCCGCTCTACGACCTCACAAGAGATTGTGAAGATAATCTGGGACATCCTGTATATTTTTTATTTCAATGTATTTTGCAAAAAATTGTAGTGTTTTCTTGCCTCTTCATCATCAATCAACAGTTTTGCGGAAAGGACCCAGAAACGCTAATAAATTTCTTAAACTATATAAGAAAATTACCCGAGAGTACTCCTAAGACAGCTTGACAATCTCCGACACCAGCGACATGCAGATGAGGACCATCTATGTGCGCTACAGCAGCCACTGCACCGGACATTGCAACTGCGAGAGTTCTCGCAGCATCTTTCTTGTTTAGTTGCAACAAAGCTTCATCTGACAAGTCATTGTCCAGTCTGAGAAATGCATTTTCCAAAGCTTTCTCCATTTGAAATTCTTTGCAACCATTTGACTGTATCAAGTCTCTTACAAAATTTAAGAAGCTAGCTTGGTAAAGATCCCTGATTTCGGTTACGAATTCCACCTTGTCATTGAAGGTCTGCAGTAACTCTAATTTTTTCTGAGAACTGATGGAATTTAAATATTGTTGCAGCAATTTTGGCGGCAATAAACATGCTGAAATATAATGAAACAGTCTCTTTGACACTACTTGAGCACAGGCACCACCACCATGACCATCAAAAACTCCCAGTAATACACCTGTAGTGAATAAAAAATTAGAAACTTCATTCATCATTATTATGCAATTTCATACGCACATAAGATCTTGTACAGAAGCTTAAGAATATCATTGTTTTAAAATTATATATCTGAATGATCTGTGCTACTTGTGCAATCTATTACTACATGAACTAATAACATGGATAATTTTGGCATGAAAAGATCCATTAACTTTTATATTATACCTTTTGTTAACAAACATTGAGCTTCTGATCGTGTGTCCTCTATAGGATTATTAGATGCTAGTTGATTTGAATCATAATATTTTATGGAACCTAAACCATCGAATTCTTTGGTATATTCGTTGGCTTGTAAGATGTTTGTGACCTAAAACATACAAAGTGTGTGCATAACACATATGAATTTAGAAAAAGAAATAAAAAGAATCATAATTGAAAAATGTACCTCTTGCGGAGTGAGTCGTGGCAGTGCCATATACGATCGTTGGAAATTTTTGCTGCCACAAAGTCCGCTCTTTTTAATGTAAACATGTCGATAACCTTGAAAGATGTAGCCAAATTTCCGTAATATCATCCTATTCTAGAATATCGTCGTTTCGCCACCCTACACGTGCTGATATCTCTTTTCTCCTTTGCTTTTCCAACACATTTTTGATTCCTTATAGGTTATAAATAATAACAGTAATCACAATATTCAAATTAGATACATTACGTCAAAACTAGATATTTTTTGTACCGTAATTTACGTAATAAATTTGAATGTTTTTTCGAGGATTAATATAAATATCTAAAACTTGCAATTTGTTAGATAATATGGAAATAAATGGGTTACCATAAAATGGGTTGCAACACGATCATAAGGTTTGTTCATTTTAAGTCTGTTCTTTTTAGTCTTTTTGAAGTCTGACTTCAGACTTCAATGATTGGCTGAGCTCGCTTTAACGTTAGGGTGCGATTACATGAGCGTACGGAAATATGGAAATGCGAAAATACGGAAGACAAAGTTATTAGGATTTAACTAGATTTACGCATTTCCGCGCTTTTGTTCCGTAGCTTTATTTCTCCTAAATATTACATGGAGCATATTTTATACGGAAAAGCAAAACGAGGAATTATAAAACATTAATTGTAAACGATATTTATTAATTAAAATCTTTTTATTAAACGGATAAGTTGAAAAAAGAAGCGTATTAATAAAAATTGCAATGAATAAAGTAAATATAATTTTTTAAAATGTATACAAATATTTATCACTATACCGTTCCGCATTTCCGCACAAATTGTGCTCCATGTAATATTTAGGACAACCAAATCAACGGAACGCATTTACTCCGTTATATAAGGTGTAGTAAAAAGAAATCCATTATTTTTCCAATAGTTGGCTTTAGTAATGTGTATCTCGCGTTGTATAAGTGCGATCGGTTTACGCTAGATGGCGTTAGAAAGATAAGGTTTCGTACTAAAAAAACTTCTCAGACAGTTTTGTGATTGTTTGACTCAGTATTGTTTGAGCGCGCGTCAAAGATGGACACTAGCAAAGAGAAAATACGCCATATTTTACAGTTTTTCTTCGATAAAGGCGAAAACGCAAGCCAGGCGGCTGAAAATGTGAATAGTGTTTATGGTCCTTATACTATAACAGCCAATCACGCGCAATTTTGGTCTCGTCGATTCCGTTCAGGTAATTTTGATGTCAAAGATGCACCACGCTCTGGAAGGCCAATTGTCGAAAATGTCGATAAAATAATGGAAATCGTCGAGTCCGACCGTCATGTAAGCACTGTTTCGATTGCCCAGGAGCTAAACAAAAAACCGTTTGGAACCACTTGAATAAGGCTGGATACAAAAAGAAGCTCGATGTATGGGTGCCACACGAGTTAACGCAAAAAAACCTCATGGACCGAATTTCCATCTGCGAATCGCTGCTGAATCGCAACAAAATCGACCCATTTCTGCAGCGGATGGTGACTGGTGATGAAAAGTGGGTCACTTACGACAACGTCAAGCGAAAACTGTTGTGATCGAAACGCGGTGAGCCGGCGCAAACGGTGGCCAAGCCAGGATTGACGGTTAGGAAGACTTTGCTGTGTGTTTGGTGGGATTGGCAGGGAATCATTCACTATGAGCTGCTCCCCTACGGCCAAACTCTTAATTCGGACCTGTACTGCCAACAATTGGACCGTCTGAAGGAATCAATCGCCCAGAAGCGGCCAGCTTTGGCCAATAGGAGAAGAATTGTGTTCCATCAGGACAACGCCAGGCCACACACATTGATAGTGACTCGCCAGAAGCTCTAGGAGCTTGGTTAGGAGGTTCTTATGCATCCACCTTATAGTCCGGACCTGGCACCAAGTGATTACCGCCTGTTCCTGTCTATGGTGAATGATTGTACTGGTGAAAAATTCGCCTCAAGAGAAGTTTGTGAAAATCGATTGTCTCAGTTTTTTGCCAATAGGGACAAGGATTTCTATGAAAGAGGCTTAATGGAATTACCTTCAAAATGGCAACAAGTTATCGAAAAAAACGGTACATATTTGACCTAAATCGGATCATTCTAACTATGCTTAATAAAGCCTTCAATTTCATGCAAAAATAATGGATTTCTTTTTACTACACCTTATATATACTCCTTGTGTGACCTTTATAGAAATATCATACTAAGAATCATTGATAATTACTTATT